GACGCGCTGCGGACGCGCAGCGGACGCGCTGCGGACGCGCTCGTGCATTCACCAATGCCATCAAACTATATATGACTGCTTTGCAAATACGGGCTGTTAAAAAATATTGGCTGTGTCCTTCAATACGTTACTATAGTGTCTTGTTTAGCCCAGCGCGCTGCGCGAACGCACTCGCGCATTTACCAATGCCATCAAACTATGACTGCTTTGCAAAAACGGACTGTAAAATACTGGCCGTGTCCTTCAATAAATATAGTCTTGTTGAGCCCAGCGCGCTGCGAACGCGCTGCAGGCGCGCTGCGGACGCGGTGGCCATCACCTAGATTTAGTTTCTCGAAAAGCAGCCCGTGAGGAGGTATGGCGCTAGCAGTGAAATAGTTGGCTATACAATTAATGGGCATCACGGCATCAACCAAACTTTTCTACCTTTGTGGAGGATATGTCTGGCTGTAGGTTGTGTTACATGTATACAAAAGCGCGTTTTTCTACCTTTGTGCCCTTTACATGCCTATGTCATTGTGTGCAACCCTGAATGAACTTCCTATAAAACTCTCCATGTCCTGCTTGCGCTGAGCAATGTTATAGCTTGGCGCCCACTTGTTCTGGAATTTGATTCCATGGCAACAGACTTTCCAGGAACTTTTCTGTTTCGTGTGGTCGGGGCGGTTGACAAAATAGCCAACGTACTTGGCAAGCTTGGTAATGCCATCAGACTGGATTCGCAGGGCGAAGCAGGAGAAGCAAACCCTCCGGAGATGTAGGTAGGAAGGCGACAGAAGCTCCTGTCGGCAATGCGCCATGAGGCATTCCATCAAAGATGCGGGTGGCTTTCGCAAGACGGGGGACACTAAGACACACACTTCGCTGTCATGAATGGCTGAAGCCACATGCTGCAGCACCTCATTTTGCCAGTAGTAGGCCTTTTCAGCAGAGGAAGCTGCCACCAGGAGCACCAGATTCTCTTTGCGAATCTCATCCTGGAGCATTTGGAAGATCTCTTGGTCATCCCGCTTTTTCCGCAAGCTGTCGAGCAGCTCCAGTAGTGGAGTTCTCAAATGTCCCTTCTTCATGTTCTTCCACAGGGCATCTTTCAACTCTGCGTCACTGATGGCACATGCTTCTGCAAGCCCATCCGGCAAAGGACATCCATTCCTGGGTGTTTCCTGAAGGTGGACGTATTTGCACTCGTCTCCCCAGTGACAGGAGTTTCGCATCCAATTCTTGCAAAGACCCCGAACAAAGGATCCCCCATAAGTCTGTTGGCATTCAGCTGCTTGATGCGATGCCGCGGTAGGAACCAGACTGTCCAGAGGCACCTCACGGATACGTCTCTGATTGTGGACATGGTCTTCCGGAACCCTCTCATCACCGTTGCTCGAAGCACCTGACGGGATTTAAAAAAACAGCAAACCGCACAAAAACACACGTGGGGGATTGAAAAACACATGGCTGGAAGCATCGGTGGCACATGATGTCGCTTGCGTGATCGCCACCTGAGCGCTCACGCCACAAGACACGAATCTGAGGATCTCGATTCGACGCCAAAGTCACCCTCAAACGGCTATCTCGACCTTAGTGGATGTTTGGCGCTACACGAGCTCACAAAAGGTCCATTTGGGACACCCCGAATGGCAACAAAAACTCATCCACTAGCAATGGCCTCCAATTTAAAAGCGATGGCAACACATTTTGTCCTTGCTTGCACAACCTTAGAGCTCTCCAAAGTGGATCGGACAAATGAATCTCCCTGCGTCCACCGTCGAGTTGCCATCATAGCCGTTGCTTAACGGCACGATGTCTCCCGATTGGATGGCCTTTTGGATGAGGTCGTAGCACACGGAAACGTGCACTGGACACTGCTCAGTGAAGTGGTACATGGATTCCGCAATGCTCCCTAGACACTGGAAGGTCTCCCCATTCACCCTCTGCAAGAAACTGAAGGTAAAAGCCTCGTAATTGAACAGGTCCAGCTTGGACGCACCACTTTCCACCTCCTTCAATTTGACCTCTGCGCACCCAGGCCTGAGGGATCTGATTCGCACCCTCTCCAAAGATTGCTCCGCACAAGCTTTCCACTTGTCAGCGCCGTCTTGGCCATTCCACGTGCCCCGAGCGAAGCGAAAGAGATCATGGTAGGTCGCTACTTTCAACATGCGAAGGGCCACCACCAACAGATCTGGGTTCAGCTCTGGCTGCAAGGGCGAGAGCAGTATATCGCGCTCTTCGGTGTTGCTGCTTTCTAGCATCTCCAGCCATCGTTCCTGATCTTCCTTCAAGATTGCAACCAACCCCCGCAAGAAGGCATTCAACATCATTCAACAGCAACACAAGGATGAACAAAACAGAAATGACATAGTCTGCCTTTCGATCGACTGCTCATCAACTCGTCGTGGGCAACCCTGTCCTTTTGGAAGGTGTTCTTGGTGCCAACGGAAATCCCCCACAGCAGGCCCTTCTCCCATGCGAATTTAATCTCGTCCCATGGCACCTCTTCCCGCAACTTCCGACTTGGCATGCGGAGAATGGGAGGCTCCTGGCGGGCCCTGCGGTTGAAGGCGTCGAGGATCGACCTCAGGGCGGCCATGATGGGCGATGCCATGGGAAAACTGGCCCATGTTACACGCACACGGCTAGTTTTTGAGGTCGGACTGGTCCCACCTCGGCATATCAGGGCTACTCACCCGGATAGGATCTCCAAGCAGCATTGGCCGCACGTTGCGGTCTGGACGCCCCAGGAATGGTTTTGGGGCTTCGGCCCGTTCGGAGTCGGGGGCCCCGTGGGACTCACGCAAGTGGCGGAACAATTGGTTTTTGGAAAGAAAGGTCGCCAAGCAAAACCGACATTGAAACTCCGCCATGGGCCAACGGCAGCCAAAAACGGCCCAGCCTTTCCACGCGCAATTTGTGGAAACAACGTTTTCTTGATGTCGCCCTACGCGCGCGAGCGTTGGCTAACAGCACAGGTCTGAAGCTACCTGCGCCTGGTGCAATGATGATAACGTGAAGATGTTTTAATGTGCCGTGGTGTCACTCGAATCCTAAAAGACTGCAATTAATTGCGCGAGGACAGCTCTCCAAGTCAAAGCCTGCCAAGTCCGCCATCCAATTTTCAAGTGATGACTTGCCCAACCACCAACTGCATATGACTTAGGACCATTGACAATTCATGCACATCTTTGCCTTAAAAACAACCCACGGCGGCCCGCCGTCGTTCACCCGACAAACGCAACGAAAACATGAACTGAATTACTACTATTAATACTACTAATTAGATTCTAATTTATATTGTTTCTACTAGCTTCTTGTTCCTAGTAGTAAGGCCCTTGCTCCTAGTAGCGATGCCCTTTGCTCCTAGTAGCGTTGGTTTCATCAGCATCCTCCCCACAACCATCATCGTCATCCCATGAATTGTCATGACAGGCCACCCTTCAGGCGCATGAGCACCCCAAGTCCAAATATTCAACCATACATGCGGCCCAAATGGGCGCCTTCGTCAGGCCGCCCCAAGGAAATATGTGACCCAAACGGCCAAACATTTGACATTCTAATAGCTTCTAATTTTGGTTCTTCTCTTGTTTCTAATAGCAAACATTGTTCCTAGTAGTAAAACCAGGAGCCCCTAGTAGCGAACATTGTTCCTAGTAGCGATGCCAGGAGCCCCTAGTAGCGAACATTGTTCCTAGTAGCGATGCCAGGAGCCCCTAGTAGCGTCCTTGCTCCTACACCTGCCAGAAACACATTTCAAGTAGATTTTGGGCAACACTCCTCCTGGACGCTCCCGTGGAACACGGTTGTGCGACACGGCATGTTTCTTTAACAACACCTTGATGCCAAACACGCGCATTTTTCACAAGAGTGTCCCAGAGCAGATCTCATGGCTATTTATCTTTATAGTTTTTATGAAACTATACCTCTTTCAACCGGAATGTCTGCTTAAACAAAAGTGTAACTGCGCCCCCAAAAAACAACACCC